GTTGGACGTTATTCGCTCAGTCGTGTCTGACTCTTGGCGGCCCCATGGACTATAGCCTGCCAGGCTCCTCTGTCCTGGGATTCTCCAGGAAAAGATACTGGAGTGGGTTCCCATTCCCTTCTCCAGGGGATCTTCCTGACCCAGGGATCGAACCCGGGTCTCCTGCACTGCAGGCAGATTCTTTACCAGCTGAACCAGGGGAGCATGTCCTCAGTAGTGAAGCCACCATGCTCCTCTGCAGAGTGTAGCTCCATCAGGCATCCTCGCGATGCGACTTCCTACCCCCCCGCCCACACTCCCACAGACGGACCATCAGACCTCAGGGTGTCACACATGTAAAGTAAGTTGTGTGATTCTCTCTTTGTGGAATATGAGCCTTTTAGCATCAGAGTCTTCGGCATTCTCTCATCTCATGCCATCAAACAGGTTGTTAGAAATTCTAGGTGAGAAGTAACGCTGCCACCTTTGTTGACAAATTTAAGCACTGTTTATCTCACAGCGAAAGTAGGGGTCCAGGACTGAGAGAGAATGGAGAGGAAAGGGGGAGAAACACAGGTTAAATATCTTGTCGATTTTTACCAAGCGGGCTAAAGGAATCTCTTTAAGTCTTCAGTAACAACATATTGCTAGGGTCAACGTGGGTAGAAATTTGGAAATACTTTCCGAAGGACCTTCCTCTATGAAACCAACTTTCTTCATGTTTATTTTATCTGCTACTAGGACTCTGGGGAAGCGTCCTGGTGAATGTCGGTTCCAGAAAAAAACAGAGCGTAAGACAGGAAGTCTTCCTGTCGTCCAGGAAGAAGGGCTGGCCTATCCTTCTGGCCAGCGGAAAGAGGAGGAGGGGAGGGAAAGTAAGAAAAGAGGTCAGCTACCCACGCCTTCATCTCCCCCACATTCCTGCAGGGTCAAATCTGGGTGAGGAGGGGAAAGCAAGGACGCGAGTCAGAGGAGAGAAGCGGATCTTGCCGTTCTTCCCGTGCGGAAGGGTCTTCCCTTATATGCCGCGTCCGTTTATTCATTTGCTGGTTTATTCGCGGCCGCGGGGTCTTCGTTTGCATGGCACACCCTCTAGGCACACAGCCTCCAGGAGGTGCAGCTCCCGGCTCAGCTGCCCGGCGGCACGTGGGGTCCTCCAAGACCAGGGGTCCAACCTGTGTGCCCTGCAGGGGCGGGTAGATTCCCAACCCCCGGGGCACCGGGAAGTCTGTCTGCATCCACCCGGGCGCCCCAGGGCTGTCGGGGACAACGGGACTTTGCCATCGGGCGACGGCGGGGATAAGTGAGCTGTGGACGCCTCCCAGGACCAGATGAGACAGGCTTCTGCGGATACAGAGCGAGGCCAGGCCCGGCCCGAGCGAGCTCCTCCACACAGGCCGGGGCCTAGGGACCTCTTACAGACCCAGGCCGGCGCCGGTCACCAGGCGTGACCTCTGCGTGGGCTGGTGTGGAGCTAGAGATAGGAAACCTTACGAAAATACATTGCTTCAACCAGGATACATTGAGATGCTCTTTAGGGTCAAGCTTGAGTTTTCAGCCGCCCTGCCACCACTCCGGGGGAGGATTGTGGATGAGGGTGGGCCGGGGGAGGGGGAGGTGAGCCTCAGTAAATAACCAGCTGCGTCTTCTTTGCACACAAAGGGAAGAATCCACACCCCTCCGCAGGGGTCCTTCCGACACCCACCCACGCTGCGGGCTTCAGATCTAGGACAGAGTTCACTCCTCTGCAAGGCTCTCCCTAAAGCCATCCCGCACACACTTGCCAAGCCCCGGCTGCGCACACAGCTCTCAGCGGTGAAGGAAAGCTGCCCTCCCGGGGCTCCCGAGGCGGGAGGGGAGGCCGAGGTGTCCTGACCGCAGCGCCAAGCGCAGGCGGTCCTTGGCGTCCGAAGCCCCAGAACCACACGCCCTTCTGAGTGACAGACTGAGCGTCGGTGTCAGGACCTGATCTGAGAGCCTGGCATCCACGAGCGGCAAGGTTTCAGTTACAGGGCTGCGGGGGAGGGACAGTCTAGGCTGAGGAACGGTATCCTCCCGGGCTCACGGGCTGGGCAGGGGAAGCCGCTGTCCTCGTGTATTTTCACACGCAGGGTCGCGTCATTCCTGCATCTGTATTACGTTCTCATTGCTGCTGTAACAAGTCTCCCCCACAAACTTAGTGGCTTAACACAACCGGGGTATGATTTGACCTTTCCAGAGGCCGGAAGTCCCAAGTGGGTGTTACAGGGCGAAGATCCGGGTGTCGGCTGGGCTGGTTCTTTCTCGAGGCTCCAGAGAAGCGCCCGTGCTCTCCTCTGCCTGAGTCTGGAGGCTGCCGGCTCCCGGCCTGAGGGCCGATCCCTCTGCTGTCCCAGCTCTTCTGCTCCGACCTTCCTGTCTCCCTGTTATCAGAACCCGTGATTGCAATGGGCCTGTGAAGATGACTCAGGATAATTCCTCCTTTCACAACCCTTGATGCAACTAAACTTCTAGTCTCTTTTACCACATAAGGTAACATCCACAGTTTCAGGATGCAGGCATCTTTGGAGGGCCAGTGTTCTGCCTACAAGAGTATCATTTGTGTTACCTCCCTTCTAATTCAGTGTGAATAACTGAGTTAGGATCCTATTTGTGAGATGCGAAGGAGAAATTCAAATATAGCTTAAAAATGTAAACATACTAGCACCAATTATGATATCCCTTAAAGTAAGGAGCCATTTAAAACTAACAGCTGTCCTTGGAGAAATAAACATAATCTAAATCCTCAGTATTTAGCTTTAAATTATTCTTTCCCGCCTCTCAACATTACTTTATCAGTGCTTCTCAAACTGGGGCTACCCAGGTCCCAGCAGGTACACCTGATAACCAGAGGTGACAATAACCTGCAGGATAAACAATACCCCAGTGTCAATTTTATTAACTGCAATAAGCCAGTTTAACATTTTATATTAAAAATGAACATGGCTATAATACACAGTAGGATGGACATTTTGAATAAATTTTGTAAAACATGAAACTCTAAAGAAGTAATGATCTGCTCTGAACTGTGCCTAAGGAATTTCTTCTCTGCTTTAAAGGAATATTTTGATGAAACATCTGAAAAGCACTGGCATAAATTAGAATATTTGTGCAAGTCTTCCAAAAAAAAAAAAAGATCAAGAAAACAGTATCTCCTGATTACATGTATTTCTGGCTATGAGTGGTATAAAATACTTTTATTTACAAAATTTAGAGATCATTTATTATGCATCAAGAATATCATAACTCACCTATATATAGAACTCAGTGTTGACAAGGTTCTGCTTCAGCATGTAACTGAAAACCAGTATGTAAAAATATACACGTTAAATTTTTCATATTTAGAAGAGGCCCTCTGCAGTTCACCTGGAGTAGATTTACTTTTAGTTCATATGCAATTCTGTTTAAGGTTTGCCTGTGGGTCCCCTACCCAAAGCAATAGACAACAAATTAGAGACGCCTTGTTCCAGGAAACTAACAGACTCAGACACACACACATGAGCTTATAATGTATTATTTTCGACCACCTCTTATACACCAGACATTACCTCATAGAATATGAATATCCTGGGTGTTATCCTCTTTTTACATCAGGATCATAGAGCTTGAGAAGAGCTGGGATTCACAACAGACCACCAAACTCCAAAGTTTGGGATCTTTCTTTTACAGAAAACTCAGCTCAGTTCTTTAGCAAAGCAGGTGAGAGTGAGTTAGTGGCTTTTCTATCTCTGGTAACAAAGAGTTGTGGGTTTTTTTGTTTTGTTTTGTTTTGTTTCCCTCAAAGAGTGGAACCTGGGTCATGTGTTAAAGTTGGCTTCCCAGAGTAACTCATAAGCCAGACATCCCAGGGTCTGGGCATGGAGCGAAATCCAAGACAGTCAGGGGAGCAGGGGACAGGCGTTTCATCTGTTCACCCTGCTTCCCACCTGGAACAGGTGCGATTCACCTTCCGAAGACTCAGATGACGCTGTCACTTGTGGGGACCACTGGGATTTCTCTTTTGAATAAGACGGATTTTTATTTTATTTTTATTTTCTGCATTTCTCAGGAGCATATGTTGATTTGGGAAGTCTCCCCTCCCCCCTTCCTGCTATTCTAGTAACCACTTCCTCTCCTTTTTCAGGATCTACCCTCATGGAGATCACATGAGCCAGTGCTCAGAAAGCTCACAAGAGTACATGGCAAATACAGATAACCTTCAGGGTGTTTCCTTCTGTGGAGACTCTTGGTTATGAGTAAGCCAATTATGATGGCTTATTATTTACAGTGAATTAATATGAATTTAAAAAGTGTACATTTGCTCCTTCACCATTACCCAACTGCTCAGCGTAAAATAAAATAATCCAAGATAGAATTCCAGATTTTATTAGAGAATGTATCTAAAATACAATATTTATTAAGTTATGATATATTATTTGAATGGAAATATACTCTGTATCACAGCTATAACAATTTTTATAGATAATTCATTTATATCTCTATAGTTCAAAAGTCACTAAATCATAGTGTAATTAAGATACCATTGCTACAAATATATTTAAGAATTTAAAGTTTTTCTCTATTATACCATCTTGGAATCACATCTATCTGATTCACATCACATAGGATCAAGACCACTTTACCTGATTTATATCACACAGTTCAATTTATCCCCACATGTAGACTTGCACTCAATCATCCTGCCTTCTTATATTTTCAAAATAGCACTTTAGTGAACCATTGTGAGTGCTCATTACCCCACATTCTGTGAGCAAAATCAAGGTTCTTATATTCTCTGTCACAGAAAGGCTACTATCATAAGCAAAGCACCAGTCACAGCAAATCTGTCAATCATGACAATTGGTCTGGGTTTTCACATTTTAATAGTAAGCACATCAGGTGAGAGATGAAGGGTCTAGAAAACCAGATGCAAAGAAGCGAGGGCCCAGTTCACCAAGGTGGACTTGTGCTAAAGCTAAGGGGAGGCCCAAAGACTCTCCCCTGGACACTGCCCCGGGGCCGCCTTATCTGGGGAAACCTCTGACTTTTCTGTTTTTCAGGGGCTGAGCCGGACGCCAGTTGTCCACCATCAGGAGTTCAGGCTCACCCTCTGCGTTGAAGTTAAGAGTACGGAATTTCAACATCTAAAAGACAAAATTAAAGATGAAAAACATCAAAATTACAAGTTTCACTACAGCATTCAATTATCGTGCTTATGTTAAATCTTGAAATACATTTCCCAGTATTCACAGTCTCAGATGGCAATGTTCAAAATTTAATTTGATCCTCAACAGATATGTAATCACATATAGATTACATATATATACTTTTATACAACAAATTAATTTCTACAGAATAAATTACATCTTGCTGTTATCTGAAGGAAATTTTCAATGAGCTTGTTTTTTCCTCTTTTAATTACATAATCAAACATCAAAAACCTATAAAATATTTCAGCGATGTAAAGTAATAATAACAATTCTAGATCCAAAGTAAGGTTTTGTTTTCTGCCCCAGGGAAGACACACATCAGCATGGGTACAGATAGATAAAGTGAGCCCAGGTTTGCATGCTCCAGGGTGGAATGATGGCTGACATCTCTGCTTAAATTTACAGAAGCACAGGATTAAATCTGCCCAGGCTGGGATTTCCAACCCTCATCTCTGGGTGGTTCTGATTTCCTTTTAAGTTCGTGTGAGTTCCCAGCAGAGTGACGTGGCCCAGCCATCCCTCCACCGGGTTCCTCCTTCTCTGAGGCGGTTTCTGATAGAGTCACTTCCCTTTCACTAAGCATGATTTGATCTAAACGAAGAATGGTGGTTTGGGAGGTAAGGCAGCTGCCCGTGAATCAACAGCCTTGACCCAGATCTCTTTGCCAAACAAAATTCCCTTGGTCAACTCCGAGGAAGTCAATTTCCGAGGAAGTCAATTTCCATGTAAGTCAGCGACTGTAACACACACAACCACTGTCACTGCAGTGTGCTGAATAGCACAAACTATGCTCTATAGGAAACGTGTGTCTGGTCTAAGCTGCTGGAGCAACTTGGAGTGGCTTTTAATAGATGCTTTTTATCCAACGGATGACTTTCAACTCTGTTAGAATCCAGAATGTATTCTGATATAAATAAACTACAGTCAGATCATAGGTGAGTGAGCCGTCGGCTGGAAATGATCACCCATAGCTATGCAGCCTTGAATATAAAATCCCTTTGTTCCAGCCTTCAGATTCCTCCTAATGTACAAAAAAGCATGTACTGGGTGACAGACACTTTTCTTAGGTAATCTTCAGTGTTACCCAACTTCACAGTAAAAAGAAAAAGTTACCCAAGCTTATCGTGAACAACAAGAAGTACTTGGTGAGTGCTAATTACATCTGCTACGCACTATTGCCAGCACCAGAAGTGGCAGGAGGGCTAAAGCCCAGATCTGTCTGCTTCCAGAGGTCTAGTCCTTCCGCCTGGACTAAGTGCTTCCCCCAACCTGAGCGAACGGACCTGCTGACTGCTAACGGAGACGGGTTCTTTGAGCACGACCCAGGTCACGCTTTCGAGGAGAGGAGGGGTGGTCAGTGAGCCGGGGTAGGTCCAGTAGTCCAAGGCGTTAGGAAGGAGGCTGGAAGGATCGAAGTTAGGGAAGTCAGCACTCTTACCCTGGAACACAAGGCAAAGACCCCGGTTAAAACACATCACGTGATCAGAGTGGGGGGGAACGCAGGAGAAGGGGACACACAAAAATTCAACTTGGAGAGTCAAAAACCTTCCTTTTTTTTTTTTTTTTAAAGAGAAGTTCCATATTCACCAGAAAACAGAATAAAAGAAGTTAACAGGAGATATTCGACATGGGAACTCAGATTAGCAGATGTGAGCAAGAGAACCTGACTAGCAATTTGACCTGTCCATTTGCTCACCTGTCCTCTCAAACAATCCCTTATCTTTTTCATTAAGTCATTAACTAATCTTAGCCGGTATCTAAAGTGAAATTGCTGCCACCAAAATGCTGTGATTTTAGGGCATAGGAACAGAATGTGTAGACAGCGTCCTCGATGAGGAGGTAACTGTCTTGCTGTGCTGTTTGATGGTTCAACCAGAACTGAAGAACTGCACTGAGCTCTGGACACCACACTTTAGAGAAACAGAAGCGACAGGAAAGAGTTGTCTGAAGAGTGACAGGTTGCTGCAAGAGACAGCTGTCAGGTAAGACTAGTTAAAGGGGACAAAGATAATTAGCTTGGGCGTAGGTGAAAGGCTGAGAGAAAACAGGCTCAAGTGTAAGGAAGATTTGGGGTTTTTTTTTTTATGTATAGTTGACATATATTAGTTTCAGGAATACAATGTAATGATTCAATATTTGAACATATTATTAAATGATCATAGGAAGTCTAGTGAACATCTCTCAACAGAAAGTTTCAGAATTTTCTTGTGATAAGAACTTTTAAATCTACTCTTAGCAACTTTCAAAGAGGCAATACAGTGTTATTAACTATAGTCACTGTGATGCTGCTAAGTCACTTCAGTCGTGTCCGACTCTGTGTGACCCCATAGACGGCAGCCCACCAGGCTCCCCCGTCCCTGGGATTCTCCAGGCAAGAACACAGGAGGGGGTTGCCATTTCCTTCTCCAGTGCATGAAAGTGAAAAATGAAAGTGAAGTCGCTCAGTCGTGCCTAACTCTTCGTGACCCATGGGCTGCAGCCTACCAGGCTCCTCCGTCCATGGGAATCTCCAGGCCAAGAGTACTGGAGTGGGTTGCCATTGCCTTCTCACTTATTTTGATTTATGTATAAGTCAATCCCAAAACGTCTTTATTTTATGACTGGAAATCTGTACCTTTTGACCCCTCTCACCCATTTTTGGCCCCCACTCCTGCTTCTGGCAACCATCGATCCCCTGTATTTGTGAGCTGGCTTTGTGTTTGTTTTGTTTGCTTATTTGTTTAGATTCCACTAGTTCATCTGGTATTTGTTTTTCTTTATCCGACTTATCTCACTTAGCCTAATGCTCTCAAGGTCCATCCATGTCATCACAAATGGCATGATTTCATTCTCCTGGACAGCTGAGTCCATTTTATCTGTCTATCTATATCTTGAGCTTAGTCACTTCAGTCCTATCCGACTCTTTTGCAAGCCCATGGACTGTAGCCCACCAGGCTCCTCTGTCCATGGGATTGATTCTCCCGGCAAGAATACTGGAGTGGGTTGCCATGCCCTCCTCCATGGGATCGTCCCAACTCAGGGATCAAACTCACGTCTCCTGCTTCGGCAGGTGGATTCTTTACCCACTGAGCCACCTGGGAAGCCCCATCTATATCTATCTACCCCCCATTTTCTTTACCCATCACTTGTTACTGGGTGCTTAGCCTCTTTCTGTCTTGGCTATTGTAAATAAAGTCGCAGTGAACAAGCTCAGGGTAACAGGTAAGCCTTTCAGAAGACTTGCTGCTTTAATTTGAGGATGAGTTTGATAAAGCCAGGTTGCTGCTGCTAAAAGCAGTATTTATAAGCAGATGCTCCATGACCATAGCACATAGATTTAAACATGAATTCAAAGAGGTCACAAAACAGGACCTTATTCATCATGTTCTCCATTGCATTTCCTAGACTAACAAAGTGGCCAGCGTATAGTAAGTACTCAACAAATATCTGCCTTATGAAGAGTAAATAATTGGATCAGGTGATCTTTCAGCCTCCTTGCAATCACGGTTTTCTCTGATTCTTGCATATAGATGTTCAAATGAAGCAAGAGTAAATAAATACAAGTCTGAAAATTATACAAGCATTAGGATCAACTGTGGGATAAAGATAAGTTAAATAAACATATGAGCAACATTTTACCTTTATTAAGGGCTCATCTAAGAACCACCTATCAACCCGAGACTACTCAGCTTGAGCAAAAGAATTTTTAAAAGTGAGTGGGGTATGGAAAATAGGTACCTTATGCAGGTGTCAAAAAATTCAACTGTACCTTTGTTTTAATAGAATCCAGCGCATCAAGGACTTTCTGGAGAGCTGGGTTAGCATCACCAACCTATAGAAAGACACAAAGGACAAGACAGTATATACAGTTGGCACCACACCGTTTTTTGATTAGGGCACCTCTAAGGTATAATTTCTCCAAATGGTGAAGCAAAAACCACCACTAGCTACACGCCACCCGTCAGTTTTAGTCTGGTGGCCCTGTTTTCACTGACAATCTGCTTCCAGCTCCGCGGTTCACCTGAAACCGCCTGCTCAGATGGCACCAGTGACCTCCAAGTGCCAAGGTAACCAGAACTGTTCAAATGCTTGCTTTAAGCTTCACTCAGAATTTTGCACTACTGTCTTCCCTCCTTTGCAAAATGCCCCGTCTTTTGACTTTTCCCTCTGCCCCCCAGCCTCCCAAATCTGCCTTGACTCCTGTATTCCCTGTTGATCCTTTAATCAGGGTCTTTCCTCCCAGACTGCAGCTTCTCAGGGCTGCTTGCTGAGCAGTGCTATCCCCCTCGTCAGATTTTCCTTGCATGATTTCATAGACATTCGTGGAGGCTCAGGTGGTAAAGAAACCGCCTGCAATCCAGGAGACCCGGTGCGATTCCTGGGTTGGGAAGATCCGCTGGAGAAGGGAAAGGCTGCCGACTCCAATATTCTTGGGCTTCCCTTGTAGCTCAGCTGGTAAAGAATCTGCCTGCAATGTGGGAGACCTGGGTTCAATCCCTGGGTTGGGAAGATTCCCCTGGAGAATTTCGCGGACACGACTGAGCAACTTTCACTTCACTTGTCACTTGTGTGTGCAGCTGTCACCTTGACACAGGACTTCTAGAACCATGAATCTGCAGCCCAGACCTTTCTCCACTGGGTCTGCAACTATCCAGGGGGCAGCTCAATCGGCATGTCCCACTCTCGCTGCCTGGATTCTGCAACACAGAGTCACCGTCCTTCACTCCTCCGAAACCTGCTCTTAATTTAGCATTCTCCATCATGGGATAGCACTACCTAGCTTAAGGCTGAATGGAAACAAAAGTACTCGTATTCATTCCAGGTATTGCTTTTTTTTCTCATTTCACATTTCATGTGTAAACATCCTTCACATCTACATCCAAACAGTACCTAAGAAATACCTCTGGAATTGTCTTTTTGTCTCTATCTCCACTGCGATTAGCAGATATGCAGGAAAATAAGCCCCCAAATACTTCAGAGCTAAAGGCATTTCCTAGGCTTTCTGTAGAATGTCCTATTTGTTATGAATGTTCTGTCTAGTTCACCTTTTTTGGAAACGGGGGTGGGGGGGGGGGAGAATTGGGCCATCAACTAACCTTCAAAAAAACACCTACAACAGCCAGTCCATCAGGCTGCTTCGCTGCTGTTCCAAAGTCGCCGTACTTGCTGTTCCAGTGAACCAAGTGTAGCTGAAGCAGGAGACACAACCACACACAGCAAACGATTAAACGTGATAAAAGCCTGCAGTTATCTTCATAGCTAGAGCCCACGGAAGAAAGTGAAAATGTGGGTAATTGTAAATCTAAACTTGCATTTTAATTCTACTTGTCCACTACTTGGCAAGTGATTCCTTCAACAACTCGAAGACAAAGCCTTGCATACCTTTGAGGAATGTTTATTTCTAGATTTTACATTAAAACGAGATCCTCCCAGTTGGATTCATTTTTACGCAAATGGTGTTCTTAGGAGGTCTTAGAGAAAGCTTTGCGGCATTAACGTAACATCACAGATAAAGGTTATAAGAAGCAAATAGGAAGAGCCTTTGTGAAGAAAATGGTTTGAGCTGAATTTACAAATTAAGCTTTTGAAAGAAAAAAAAGTGTATCTTACCTCTGCAGCATATTTCTTCTTATCCACAGTGTGCTCAGAACCTTGGTCATCAGATGAACCCCAGTGAAAGTGAAACTGAACTAATCTGTAAGTGCCAGTAAGAGGTCCGTCTTTCAGCACTAAAATTAAAAAATATATATATGATATTTATGTGGGCTTGCCAGGTGGCGCTAGTGGTAAAGAACCCAACTGCCAATGCAGGAGACATAAAGAGACGGGGTAATTTTGCCTGGAGAATCCCATGGACAGAGGACCTGGCAGCACACACTCACTGATACACACACAAACTCATCCATACGCATGTGGAACACACACACTCCTGAACGTCACACTCTTCAATCTTCTTTTATAGTACTAACTGTATGCCTGAAGCAACATCTTCACTCTGAAAATTAAATCTAGACCCGGGCTTGGTGTGCAGAGCTGAATGGAATCATTTCAACTCTTGTTGTTTTCTCCTTTACTTGTAATGACTGAAAGGGTGGATGCTTTCCTATCTGTTTTCTGAGCACAGGACACTTTCCTTCCAGGTTTGCTTTGGAGTCAGAGGTTCAGGTTTCAGAGAGAGGAGATTTTCAGGGGACTGTGAGCTCCTCTGTGAATAAGGGAGGAGGCGGGGCACCGGCCCGCCAACCCTGGGCCGTCTCACACCTGCAAACTCAGGAACCTCCGCCCTGCCTCGGCCAGGGAGTGGCCTTCAGCCCGCATCGCCGACCTCTGATGCCCATCCTCAGTAGGATTTGTGAACCAACAAGCATGCCAACAAAGGTCCGTCTGGTCAAGGCTATGGCTTTTCCAGTGGTCATGTATGGATGTGAAAGTTGGACTGTGAAGAAAGCTGAGTGCCGAAGAATTGATGCTTTTGAACCGTGGTGTTGGAGAAGACTCTTGAGAGTCCCTTGGACTGCAAGGAGATCCAACCAGTCCATCCTAAAGGAGATCAGTCCTGGGTGTTCACTGGAAGGACTGATGCTGAAGCTGAAACTCCAATCCTTTGGCCACCTGATGGGAAGAGCTGACTCATGGGAAAAGACCCTGATGCTGGGAAAGATGGAAGGCAGAAGCAGAGGGCAGCAGAGGATGAGATGGTTGGATCGCATCACTGAGTCAATGGACATGAATTTGAGCAAACTCTGGGAGATGGTAAAGGACAGGGGAGCCTGGCGTGCTGCAGTCCACGGGGCCAGAAACAGTTGGACACGATTTAGCGACGGAACAACAAACTGACACATTTAAAAGCCTTTAAAAATAGAGTAGTTCCACTACTTCAGTTTTATTTCTCTAGAACTGGAAACAGAACCCCTTTTGCTGTAAGTGAATTTTATTAGTTTGGGCTTATAATTCTGCAGAGTAATGAGCCCAAGAGAACTTCAGCTTTGTAAAATCAAGGGACAAGGTCTTCATGATAAAGTTTGTTTGGACAACTTCACCTAAATATGCTTAATTGGTAGCAGCACATGTTCGTCTATTCAAAGAAAAGATAAAGCTGGCTGGAAGATATCCAGGCGGCTGGGCCCTTCTGTGGCTCCTGATGCAACCGCTGGCTGACAGCTCTGCCTTACAATAGGCCAGGAGAAGAAAAGAAGCTTTTTTTTTTTTTAAAAGAGAATAAATTATCAATGGTGTTATATTACTGATCTATTAAGAAACATGAATTTGGATGTATTCAAATAAAATAACATCTCTTAAAACTAAAAAACTTACTGTAAATGTGCTTTTCTTTAATCTGACAATAAGGAAAGAATTAAAGAATTATCCTTATACCCCCAAATAGACTTTTTCCAAGATAAAAATATAATTCATAACTATATATACTCTTAAAAGAAAATACATGTTTATAAAGTTTATAAAGATTTAGGATTAAGCAAGAGTAATATGAGCTTTCATTAAATAAGGATTCTAATACTATTTAAAAAAAAAAGAAATGCCTCAGTGTTCAATGATTAAACACTTTCAGGACTAATATACTATTACCAGAAACCTGTTTGAGCTTTTGTTAAAATAAAACCATGTTACTATGTAGCTGAGAAGTCCACTGTAAATAGTGCATACTCAGTCGCTCAGTCATGTCCAACTCTTTGCCACCCCATGGACTGCAGTCCGCCAGGCTCCCGTCGATGGGATTCTCCAGGCAAGAATACTGGGATTTCTTTCACCAGGGGATCTTCCCCATCCAGGGATCAAACCGGTGTCTCTTGAGTCTCCTGCCTTGGCAGGTGGATTCTTTACCACTAGCACCACCTGGGAAGCCCCTACTGTAATCAGGAAAGGTGTTCGTGTGTTAGTGGCTCAGTCATGTCCGACTTTTTGTGACCCCGTGGACTGTAGCCTGCCAGGCTCCTCTGTCTGTGAGATTCTCCAGGCAAGAAGGCTGGAGTGGGTTGTCATTTCCTTCTCTGGCGGAAGGAATGTCATTTCCAACTCTATACAGTCTACGGGGTCGCAAAGAGTCAGACACGACTGAGCGACACGCACTCATAAAGGTAGCGTGCATCTTTTTACTTGAGAAATAGGAAAGATGAGATTCAAGACAGGGAACTCACGCCAACATTCTGGGTCTACTTACTCTTTTACTTAATTTGATTGCTCCATGCCATTTTCTAAACTACTCCACTTGAAAAACTCCTTTTTCTAATGAAAAAATAATTTTAAAGAACAGCAGAAATTGATGACTGCATTTTTTTCTCTGGAAAAATCCAGCCATTTCTGTGTGGAGTCCATCATCTGCTGTACCACAGAAATGTGCCTCACAAGCAGTGGAGATACACGAATGGGGTTTTCTCCTCCGAGACCCAATGTCCTGTTCAAGACTCCTGCAAACTTTATTTAAATCCAAACCTCAAAATCAAGGAAGATTTTAACTTTCACGATCTTCCATCAGTTATACATACTACATATAAAACACAACAGAAGCATTAAAGGTAGTATTATCATCTGCCCTCTTATACATATTACTTATGTAAATTATGTTCCTTGTGAAACATTCATGTTAGTAATATTGAAATAAATTAGCCACTAATGCAAATTAAAACCTATAAATGTAGCATTAACATTTTTTCCTTTCTTGATCACGTTAACATTACTTAATATAAGATGCGAGGGCTTCCCTGTGGCTCAGCTGGTAAAGAATCTGCCTGGAATGCGGGAGACCTGGGTTCAGTCCCTGGGTTGGGAAGATCCCCTGGAGAAGGAAATGGCAACCTGCTCCAGTGTTCTTCCCTGGAGAATCCCATGCACAGGGGAGCTGGAGGGCCATAGTCCACAGGGTCACAAAGAGTCAGGCAGGACTGAGCTACTAACACGCATACACATGATATAAGATGCATCCAAATGAACTCCAGACCTTAGTGAATGTCAATAATCTCTCTTAAATTCAAAACATAAACTATTCCCAATAATCCTTAGTTTAAAACTAAAATTTAAGGGATTCTTATTAATGAAGTAAATAGTCTACTAAAAAACACATTTCTAGTCGTGAACAATCACTTCTATGAAGAACCTGAAACTTAATCTGTTTTGGGTTTTTGGCAGTGTTCAGCAATTCTAGGGCTACCTCCTAAGGTTAAAAAAGCAAGTGTCAGTATAGACAGATCTGAGGGAAAGATGCCCATACTCTCAGTAGTGAGATGCTTAGCTGTCACTTTCACTAACATACCCACAATGAAGACTGAGGAGGCAGCAGGTCTTAGTTTCAGGTCTATGGCAATTATTTGACAGCTTCTGGTTTAAAAAAAAAAAAAAAGTAACCCTTTGACATGAACACAATTAAATACGGGGTCTAGAATGCTTTAGTCTATCTTACAGAAGCTTAGGGTTCTGCTCATAACAACTGTCCATGGGTTGGCCCAATAATTCGAGCACTGGTTTTCAATATTTGCCTCTAACTTTGCAATAAAGCAAGAGCATTTTTAAACTCATTAGTAAAAGTTAATAAGTTAGCAGGAGTTAATAATTTGACTACTATTCTTTTCTTCCCAGATAAAGAATGTAATAAAAGATCTCAAACAGGGAGAGTTATTTTTTAATAATTTAAAACACCTAGCAGGATTAACATTTTTCCATTAATTTCAGGTGGTTTCTTTTTAAAGGCACTTAGAAGATTGATGAGAGTTTTAACCCTAGTTCCCAGTTATTAAAGCCTATTAACTCCATATTTAAAAAGAATTCTCACAAGTTTAAACATAACAATAAATTCTACCAGTTCAGTTCCTTATACCCAAGTATTTAATTTTGGGTGTAAGAACATTTAGGATATATCCGAAAATCTGAGCCTATGAAAAGTACTTGAAGGCTGACATCTCCCTGGGTTGAGGGGCAGGGGAGTAAATGAACTGAAGTATTTAAATACAGAAAATAAAGGATATCTTAAAATATTAACTCAGTGAAAATAATTCCTAATAAAAAGAGATGATAGACTACAGATTTTAAAAAACTGAATGACCAAAATGAAAAATTATTTTTAGACTTGGAACAGAAAAGTATATCAGTTTTTAAAAGTATGGCATGGATACAAACACACTAAACATTAACTATAGCCGTCATTTAAAGATTCTTATTCAATTTCCATTTTTAAGTGGTTGCCATTTAGCCTCATTCCAACAAACTAGGAAGGAGACGACTAGCAGGTAACCTAAACTCTTGAGCATTCCGTTTCTTCATGTTTATTTTAAGTGGGTTTGACTAGAGTACCTCCACTGTGTGTTCTAACTTGAGGGTCTAGGATCTTAAAACAAAAAAGTCCAAAGGGTATTTCTTTGCATGCTATGTTTGGTTTTATTTTTTCTATCTTGTAGATGTGTTTCCCCCTAATATCAACATTTAATATATTCATGTTCTAGAAAAAAATGCTTCCTTGTTTAATGAAAACACCTGCAAATGCTGCGGAGGTAGCGGGCAAAATTACAAAGGATTCTTTCACCTGCGAAGGAGGACAAGCCTCTTGTTTTTACTGTGCCTCCTGCCTGGTTCTCTCAAGTCCTTGCTTCCTGCTTCCTTTTGCCAGGAGTCTCCTCCAAGACGCTGAAATCCTTCAAGCCTCATCCTTTAAGCACAAACCTTATTCACCCTTAAGTCTTTTCTGACTTGCTCAGGCCAACTCCAAACCTGCTTTCCATGTTTCCTTGGAACACCTCTGTGTTGCACCCACCAAAGTGACTGTCAGCATCTATTGCTCTTGTCTTCCTGCGTGAGGCAGCCTCAGCATGGGCTCAGGGGAGGCGAGACAGGGACCAGGCTCCATCCTGACCTCCAGGTGCCTGGCTTGTCTTAGATAAAGGTGGCGCTAGTGAGGTTTTTCTTTTCTTTTATAAAAACTAAGTGAAAAATACATCTGTCTCTAAAGACATGGACTTGAGCCTCTATCTGAACCATTTGGTTTTCAACTGTTTCACAATCAAACACAGCCAGTTGCTTCAGTAATGTGTGTGTTACTCACCAGGAGGAGGAGTTAGAAAAAGGTGGGTAGCTCTCATCAGTTACTGCTCACGAAGAAATCCATCAGAACTTGACATATTTATGGTAAAACGTATTACTATGTGATAATGTCATATGTAAAATCAGTCCATAGCTTAACATAATAACTGGCATGTTTGGAAAAACAGAGAAGTGTTATAAGATTTTAAAATATCATTAAGTGATAAGAAGTAATTTTAAAGCAATTTTAAAATGTTACTTTTTTTCTCTTTAATAAATCCTATTCACTTGCTACCATGTTAAAAAAAACAAAAAAAAAACAGAAGTTTTCATCAGAGATGCAATAGCAACAGTGCTTGCCTAACAAAGGCAGCCAAGTGGTGTGAAGAGCCAAGAGCAATGGCCATTTACAGAGGAATCTCAGGTGCCAGGCACTGGGCTTTATACATCTGTCCCATTTAATCCTTCCGCTGTAACAGATACTCCAATTTTACAGTTAAGAAAACAAAAACCTAGAGAGGCTAGTTACTATCATTCCCAGGAGAGGAGGAAGGAAGAATTTTTCAAAACTGTACTGAATACATTGGATAGCTACCGAAAAAGGCAAGGCAACTCGACTAATGGTTATAATTACATTCATATATTAGCACTGCAGGTCATTACGCGAACATTTTGACAGTGTTACTGAATGTTGGATCTGTCTTTTCTCCTATTGCGCAATGCTCCGCACGCCCCCAGGCCTACACCCCCACCACACATAACGTGTTTGTAGCACCATTTGGTCAGTGCCCTTCAGAGGAAAGCACCCGGGAAAATAGGACACTGGCCTGGAAATCAACCAGTGGGCAAAGAAGGCTGCTCCTGTGTCTGAAGGGGATTGTTCTCCTACTTCTAAGCAAGAAAAGAATAAAAAGCAGCAGCAAAGAGTGTTCTGTAAAGAGCACTACTACAAATAAATTACGGTAATTGGTTGTGTCAGCAAGGGACCAGGTATGTCCACCAACTCTAAAACATCTTCATTTATGGAATGAACTTCTGGGTGGATACCGAGATACACAGCCACCTTTACCACACTGGCCCAAGGCTGAGAAAATATTCACAAACACAGTGCTTCCGAGAATTTCAGGATTTTAAAGCAGCAGGTTTTCAACACTCTTCTGCGTGCTACCGTGAAGACCAACTCTAAAAAGTCCAGTTTCTGCAAGTCTCCTCATTGCTGACCTCTACGCAAGGGGCCCTGCCTTTTTGTGACTTTTCTCAGGCATAGCACAGGTATTCAGTGCCCTACATAGAAACCGGGAATCCGACAGGGAGAAACAGCCCCTGCCACTTCAAGGAAATTAACCTGCTTCTCAGAGGCTGAAATAGAACGGAGATGACCAGAGTGTAGTATTAAGGGGATCCTGCGCCTGTTAAGCTGGGACAAGAGCTGCTCCGGACACGTTACTTTGTAAGCACTGACCTGCTTTGTCCTGGGAGTCATCAAACTCCACGTTGAAAGAGTGGCCGTTGTTGAGCATCCTCCGCGAAGCTGCTTGCCCATAGAGAAGAGACAGAGGCTTCAGAGCAGCATCAGGGACGACGGCCTTGGTGTCGACGTCAACTGGTGACTGGCGCTCGCCGTTGGCGACGGGGAAGTCCTTATGCCAGTGTTCGGGGCCTGGGGTTGAGCAGAGACGTGTGAACCCGCAATGTGGGGAAGGGCACGCCCCAGCTCCGGGGAAAGGGCAACGCTTCTTGGACCTGCTTGGCTCCAATTCTGGCGCTGCCACTTCCCAGCTGGATACAAGGCGGCGCTAGTGGTAAAGAACCCGCCTGCCAATGCAGGCAGATGCGAGGGACGCCAGTTCGATCCCTGAGTCAGGAAGATCCTCTGGAAAAGGGCTCGGCAACCCACTCCAGTATTCTTGCCTGGAGAATCCCATGGACAGAGGAGCCTGGTGGGCTACAGTCCATGGGGTTGCAAAGAGTCGGACACCACTGAAGCGATTTAGCAAGCAACCTTTGGGAAAACATTTGATCTGTGCCTTAGTTTTTCCCTCTGTATTAAGGGGAACCAATAGCATCTGGTTTATAGAGGTTGGTGTGAGAACTAACATCAATCCATGTAACGCTTTTAGAACAAGCAGGGAGCGTCATATACATATTAGCTATTTTTATGTTTCTTTTACTGAAACTGAGCCGCTGACCCTGGGTTTGTGATTAGGATTTGAATGAGCAAGCTTCCTAAAGACGCTCCCGCAGAGGGAGATTCCTTCCTCAGTCCTCCTGCCAGAGGCAAGGACTGAATCACCGCCCCGCCAGCCCCCTCGCCTTGAAGGGTCTGGATCTCCATCACCTAAGAAGCCCCAGACCCGGCAAGACAGAGATGCGCCAGACACATCTTGCTCGGACGGCCGCTGGCCTGGGGGAACCCAGACCTGTGGCCCCGAAAATGCCGGTTTCCTGGGGACCTCCTGACCTCAGAAGTCAGGAAATCAGGAAAACTCAGACGTCAGCGCAAAGGACTCAAACCACCAACCCAAGAAAACGCCCGGGAACAGTTCGTGCTGAGAATCTTAGCCACAGGTGGTGCTAAGGATGAAGTGCGGGGGCGTTGAGGGGAGAGAGGGGATGAAGGGGGGCGGGGAGGGGGGTCTCCTAATTTCTCTGCGATCAACGACCAAAGTGTTTCGCTGCACCCCTTCCTAGCGTCCTCTTGGGTCGGGACAGGGTGGTGATCGACCCGAGAGGGGCTGTGCGCGGGTCCCACGGCGATGCGCGTCCCCCCCCTCCCCGGCCAGGCGCGGGCGCAGGGCTTCCTCGACAGTGGCCTGGGGCCCGGCGCCAGGGACGCGCCCGGGGGGCCCCAAGCCGGGGGACGCGCCCGGGGGCCCCGCACTCACCGTTGTGCGGGCCGTATCCCCAGTGATGGGACATGGTCGCGCCGGGGTCCGGGGACTGCTGCTCGGGTGTCCGCGCCGTGTGTCCGCGGGCCGCGCCGTCGCCGGCTCTTATAGGCGCCCGCCACCTTCGCGCGTGGGGGCGGCCCCGGGCTGGGGGCCCCGGGCGGCCCCAGGCGGAGCGGGGAGGAGGGCGCGGGCGGAGGTGCGCTCCGCGCGCTCGGGGCGGGCCGGGCGGGCGAGGCTCCGGGGGCGGGGAGAGCGCCCTGCCGGCCGGGCGCTGCGCCAGGCTCCGGGGCTCCACTCGGGCCGCCCGGCTGCCCTCGGGGCGGGCCCGGGGCGCCCGGGAGGTTCCGCGCTCCCCGTGCGGACTGGGCTGCGGAGCGTCTGCGCGCGCCCCGTCCCCAGGCGGGGCGCGGACCGCTCGGGCCCCGGCGCCTCTCCGCCCGCGCCCCCCTTTGTGAGCGAACCCCCGGCCCCCGCGCCCTGCCGCCCCGCCCCATAGGCCCTGCCCGCGCCGCGGCCCCCAGCCCCGGGGGGCTCGCCGCGCGGGGTCCCGGCCCTGCGCCCGCAAGCGGGGCGGGGAGCGTGACCTTGGGGCGGACGGGGCTGCGGTCCTGGAGGGGCGCGGAGGGCCGGGCGCCGCGCGCCCCCTGCCGGACGGCCGTGCGCGCACCGAGCAGGAGGGCGGTCTCCCGTACAAAGTCCGCACGAGGCGAGCGTGCTTCTACATCATCAGCCCCTCTGCCGCGTCCGACTCTCTGCGACCCCGAGGACCGCAGCACGCCAGGCCTCCCTGTCCATCACCAACTCCCGGAGTTTACTCAAACTCACGTCCATCGAGTCAGTGACGCCATCCAGCCATCTCATCCTCTGTCGTCCCCTTCTCCTTCTGCCCCCAGTCCCTCCCAGCATCAGGGTCTTTTCCCGTGAGTCAGCTCTTCACATCAGGTGGCCAGAGTACTGGCGCTTCAGCTTTAACATCAGTCCCTCCGTTGAACGTTCGAACTGATCTGCTTTAGGGCGCATGCATGAGAGGGGCCTCCTTGCGAACTGACAAGTATCATGTGGGTGCCCTGACATCTCTTCCTACCTCCTTTCTTCTCTTTAAAAAATTAATTTGGGGGGAGAGATTATCCAGGCGAGTAAATACTGATTGAAAGCAATCAAGGCTTATAAAGAATCACTCTTCCAACAGGAATTGGGTGAAAGAATTTCTTGCAAAAAGGTGAGAACTTGCAAAAAGGTGAAAACTCAGAACTTGGCTGCCGAAGAAAACTTGGCATCAGGCATACCTAAGAATCAATTCAAAGAAATTTAAGAGGATATTTTTTGAGGCAAGGCAACGTTATAGCCATAAGGTTTTGGGCCTTTTCTGGGCCTTAGGCAGTTTGCCTTTATGGATCCCTTCTTCGTAAACACACACACACATACAAAGGCACCCATACACATACATGAATTTGTTGCTATATTGACATAAAGATTGATATTTTAACATGTATTTTAAACATTTTTTGACATAAATGTTCATTTTCTTCTTCTGGTTTTAAAAGAAAACATTTTCATGGGTATCTAAAAGTACCATGGGCCTGAAACTCTGTTTCCTAGTACCTAATGTGGAAGTCAGGACTGTTTTCTGGTGGGGGCAGAATTCATTTCCCTCGAGGGACTTTGCCACAAAAAGAGGAGAAGGATTTTCTGTCCTGTGGCTCGCTGTGATCTTTGAGAGCATAGTATTAGAGGTAACATTGAGGCCGCTGGACACAGTTATACACAATCCTATCAACATCATACTACTTGTACAGATAAATAAAGAGATAAATTATAACATTAGTGCAAACTTTTACAATATTGATCTCAAAAATCATTATTTTCTATTTATTTCAGTCAGCGCCACACAAACAGATACGATTCACAGTCAGATGCCCTTGTTATTGTCCTAAGGTCCCAGGAGCGAGTGAACCTCTTTGTGCTGCAGTCTTGGTTGCTGTCACCATGAATTCTCAGGCAATGAGGATTTTTGGTTCCTAATGCCATCATAGCTCTTCCCAGAGGGCACAGTGCTAAAGAATCTGCCTGCCAATGCAGGAGATGCAAGAGATGCGGGTTCAGTCCCTGGGTTGGGAAGATTCACTGGAGGAGGGCATTGCAACGCACTCTGGTATTCTTGCCTGGAGCATCCCATGGACAGAGGAGCCTGGTGGGCTACAGTCCACGGGTCGCAAAGAGTCAGCCATAACTGAGCACACACGCACACACACCATCACAAAATGTAGTTTGTAGTTGCAAAGAACCTCTTATTGATGACTCTGTAGCTACATATTGTGGAGTCCAGTAAAATAATTTTGATTCTTTGCATAATTTTCAAATATTTACTTAATTGAAAAGAAGAGGGCCTTGCAGTTGCTATGAGATTCTTCACTGGGCCCTGGGGATGTATAGTTGGTAAGTATTAAGAGCTGCATACTAAGGCTATGAATGTAAAGTGGGTTCTAAAGATTTTGTGAAGGTAGCTAGGTTTTCAGACCTGCTGAAATCCTTGCCTCCTGTTTTCTGTGAAGCTGGACTGTGGCTTTACTTACATGGAAGTAATAAAAGCACATTTTGATTACTAAATATTTCTAAAACTTCAAACACCACCAAACTGCAGTTCAGGAAATAGATTCTCGTTATTCAAGTGAGTTTCCCCCTTCCTCTCTCACTTCTGGAAAATGAACTCCTTTTTAGTGGGGCAGGCTCTCCCCGCAGAGCTGAGCTTGGAGAGAACTTCGCATACTCACTGCAGGCAGAAGATATTTCATCTTTGGATATTCAGTAGAGATCGACATTTTTTTATTAACTTCTTTTTTATTACATTGATTGTCTTAGAACTTTTTTCTGTCCAATTTTTTTTTAATGATAGAGATGGCTTTGTGCTTTCACATAGATGCATTCAGGATTCAGAATGGAACTTTATTTTACTGAGGCATTCTTAGCAGGCAGTCATGATTCAGTTATGTTCAAAAGACTAAGATTGGATTTTTAAATGTCAAAAATGTTAGTTATCCTACACCTGTGTTTCTACTGGACAGGAAGACCTGTTCATTTAAGAATAATTCTAAATAAAGAAACTGTTACAGTACCTGAAGAAAGGTACTTTTTTTCTGCCCCAGAAGGAAAAAATGACAGGCTATATATCAGGAAATTATAATATAAAAATCTTGAAGTCTGTGCTCTGATTATCATAATAAAAAGGTCTCTAACATATTAATCTTCCTAAAAATATAAAATAAAATGGTAAAGAATTTCTCCCTCCAGTAAATATATTGGTAATATATTTTACAAAGTGAAATATACATAGTTTATTAGACATCTAACTACAAAACTAATAAGATAATAAACAGTTAACTAGTCTCTTGTTTGTTACAATTAGTTTTCAAGTAAGTATCTATGGAGGCTAAGAACCATTCCCTTCTTGGGCTCCCATAGGTCTTTGCACATATCCATCTATCCTAGTATTTCCCATACCACATTCTAATCTGACACTGTATTATGATCAGCAGGTTGTAATCCACCACCTCAATTAGCTTCTGGCTGCTCATTTGTAAAGTAGGAATAATGACACCAATCTCAGGCTTGTTATAAGGACTTAATTAGGGACTGTATATAAATCACCTGCTACATAAAGGCTCTCAGTTCATCCCAGACATTGATACATTGTTAGAATATAATATAACAAATGCAAAATTAAATATCTGGGCAAGGTTCAGGGGAACAATTAAGAAGAATGAGGCTCTAGCAGCGTGGGTTTTTTATAGGGGTGGTGAGGAGTGTTTGGGTCACAGAGAAGTCCATTTTAGCACAATTGCATATTTGTTTTTATATAACTGAGCCATCTGAAACTGAGAGCTATCACATTATTCGACTTTGAGTCCTAGGTATCTATCACTTTTATCTGGCATGAGCTCCAGGACGCAAGTAGTAACTATTCATATTTGAAATTATGAAGTCACTAATCCAAATGGAGGCAATCGCAAGCTTTCTTCACAGAAGCCAGTAACAAATAACACTGTGCTGAAATTGGACTTGGTTTTGAAACTGGGCTAATTGACTAACACTCTGACCTTGGGCCAATTGCTTGGTCTTGCAAAGATTCGATTTCCTCATTTGAAAAGCCGAAATAATACTACCCACGTTCTGGAGTTGTGGCAAGGACTAATGTTTAAGGGGACTAATTTTTAAAAAAAAGATTTAGCATGGTGCCAATATTTAGAGCTTGATAATTCCTAGCTTTCATTACTACTGTTATATGTTTTTTGAACTCTTGTTATGTGCTTATTATTTTTAAATACTATGTGGGCTGTCAAAGCTGTAGTCACCTGTCCACTCATTCATTCAACACACCTATCAAGTACTGTAATGTACCAGACTCAGGGGCTGCAGCCATGAACCAGATGGGCAGGATCCTGCTCTCATGGAGCTTACCTGGGGACAGATGGGCAGAGAATATGATAAATGAATAAGCAACAAGGGACACGGATTTCCCGTGAAGTAGAGAAGAATAAGGTGGTGGATGTTACCATGGGCACTGTGGTTAGTTATGAAGACCTTCTGAAGGCTGTGGCATTTCAAAAACCTCTAAAGAAAGATCCAGGGAAGGACATTCCAGGCAGAGGAAAAGTAAGTAAGAAGGCCCTGATCAAGGACACTTCCAGGGCAGAGACGCTTGTGAAGCCTGGAGGCTGGAAGCAAGGCAACGGTGCAAACTGCCGTGATGTGATGCTCTTTAGAACCAGCGCGAGTTCCAAGATCATCTCGTTTGGTTATTTTTTATGGATGAGGAAACTGATAGAGGTTTCCAGAACGTACTGACAGATCCCTCACTACCCCTCACTTCCTTGCCTTGGACCATCTGACAGTGACTTTTCACAAAAAGCTTTAAGCTCCTTTTCCTGACCCATGATTGACCCATTTTAGTTAGTCCTGGCTCTGGCCTTCCCCTTGGTCTTTGGGTCTCTTGACATTCTTCCACAAGGGGATAGGAGGAGTGGCCAAGAG